AATGTAGGACAAACATTTGATAAAACAGTCACCCAGCAGTGCATGGACCTGACTGAACAGGTGGAATCGTTAATCTGGATCAGATACCAGAAGGTTTCTATGATGATTCTTTTAAAATGTAGCCACGTTCTCTTAATTTAAGAGCACAGTTGTCTCAGTGGCTTCCAGGAACAGGAGGGTAATGTCATTTCAGGATGTCTACCAGTAGCTCTTCCTTTTAGTCATATGTCACGTGCAAACTTTGTGTAGTCATGTAATTTGTTGCAGCTAAACAAAGTTCTCCAGTTTTGTTTTGGTTGCTTCTTAATAGAAAGTGTATGCATGTGTGCAGGAGACAACAACAAAAACCCCACTCTATTTGTCTCAGCAAACGTGTAGGTGTGATGATCGCTCCAGGGCAGTCTGTTAGAGTGGTTAGGAAAGCTGGCTTTTGGAAACTCGCAAGAAGAGCTTAATTCTTTCCATCAGCCTTTCCTATTATGGCAGAATTCTTAATCTCTTCCTAACCAAAAGTTTTCTCCGCAAAAGTAATGCTACCTTCAGGTTAGTGGACAGAGCAAAGCACTGAAGAATATAATGAAGAAAAAGGATGCGCTCAGTGGATGGGACGGGGAAAAGAGTGGTCACTGAAATGTCAGCGCTTGTGTCAGAGACAGAGGAGAAAAAACTTAGTGGCTCTAGTTCAGCTCCTAGCTCATGTGAGGGTTTTGCCTTGCAGTTAGTGCTGCTGTGTTTTGTCCAGAAAATGGAGAAGGATGGATTCGTGGTAAGACAATAGATTGTAATGCAGGAGATGTGAGTTTTCATTTCTGACTGTGTCAGAGGTTCACTTCTGACTTTGGAGCACATCTCATACTCTGTGTCTCACGTTCTCATCTGCAAAATATGGATAATAGTATTTCTCTACTTCCGAATGGTCTTTAAGGGAAAAATATTTTGATGTACATGAAGTCCTTATATTGGCTAGTACTGGATATTGTAAAAGAGCCTAAATAGACAGTCAAGTTTTAAAAGCTCTCTAGGCAAAGGAGCTTTTTATGCAATGTAACAGGCAACAAGAGCCATTTCTGACATCCTGTTTTATTCTCTGACTTGCTCTAGTTCTGTGTTTGACTACAATTTGCAGAGGCTGGGTGATCCCTGAAAATGGAGTGGGAGCAGCGAAGACCGCAAAAGAGGGTCAACAAGAATCTTTGAAAGTAAAACAACTGTAGGTCCTGGATAATTCAGATCAACACCCTGAAGCCGGAAAAGGAAATTTTAAGGCTTCATGAAAATTATGAGTAATTCTTTACAAAGGCTGTGGTGCTGAAGAGGAATGAAATAGATGGTTGGGGGAAGGGAGGAATAGGTTTGCATTCTGTAGGGCTATGAAGACAGTTTCCTTGCCTCCTCCTCCTCAGCTCAGTCCTTGCTCAGTACCCTCTGCGGTTAGATTATTCCTTGCAGATAGCAATCAACTGGAAGGAAGTGTGTGTCTAATTTGCATGAGATTATTTAAAACAAAAAAAAAAGGTCTGCATTAGTCAGGGTGATGGTAAACAACGCAAAGAGATGCCTTTTATAATATAGCCGTGGCTCAGCTTTCAAAGCCAAATATAATTCACTTACAATTGGCAGTTTCCTTTATTGTTCCTTTTAACCTTTTGCGTTCCGCATGGTCTTGATCTTGCTGAAACTCCAGAAGAACTAAAATGTTTGTTTTCCAAAGTGTTGAAGGAAGTGGAGTTAGAGGAAATCTTTTGTTAAACTGATGTGAATTTCTTGACATACCCATCCCAAAAAGCCTTTTATTAGACAAAGCTCTCGTTTTTGTGGCACTGCTTTTGCACCCAAGAAAAGTGGTATTATTTTTGGTTTACCGGTGTCCTACTAGATTAGGATAAAGAGTGGACCATAATCCTTTTTTTTTTTTTTTTTAAATACTGCAGTGATAGAAGGTCTGTGATGAAATAAATCAAGGCAGAATATCGGACCAGATGACACTTTGTCTGATCTAGTTTAGAAATTCCCACTTTTCTGTGTAATTAATGTATTTTGCGGTTGGATATTTTGGGGTATGGAAAACTCATTCAGCTGTGTGCATACATGAGTGTATGTGGTGAATATGAAAAAAATTCAATCTAAAGTGAATTTTGATGAGTTAGTTATCAATGCCTGAGGACTTTCTTAGAATATCCATGTACGTTTTTGTTAGTGTGCGTGAGAAATGACAACCGTGAAGACAGGTATATTTCTGAATCCACAGATGACTAGTTGCAGTGCAGACTTGCTGCATATGTATACTTAAGGAATTAGCTCCAGGAGATACTCCCTTGATGCTTGGAGGCCAAGATGACAGGCCCTTTAAAATGTCTGGTTACGATGAATAAAAAGGAGATGTTCTAGGAGCGATGCTTCTCCCAGTTTTCTCCTATGATTATTAACGAGGGAGGTAGTTGTGATGTTGTTTGAGTGATGCCACCCACTAGTACTGTGAACAAGACCACTTCACAAGGCAGCAGAATAGACCAGGGAGGTCCAGGGCATTTTTAATTTGCATTAGTTTGCACAGGATTCAAACCAGGAACTCAAATGTGAAAGGTTTCCTGGCATACTGTAATTCACATCAGCTTTCTCCTTACAGTATAGAAGGATTTTAATGGAAGCAGTGTTACTTGAGTGTCACTAGTGGGCATGTCCGGAATAATCCTAGAAGTGCATTTTATCTGCAAAAGATTTTTTTTTTTCTTTTTCTCAAATAAGATGAGAATTGAGGGAGCATTGTGGCTGGGAAAAAATGAGTGTCGTTTCCTGCTTTTTTTGTAGAATGAAATGTAAAGGAGAAAGCATAGTCCGTAACTTCCATACATTCCTAAGTGTTAAATGTTATCAGATTTGCTGTCTTTGCATGGAAATAGAACAGAATGCCCTGTTCTAGTGCGAGCTACATGTGCAGCCAGCAGCTAATATTGTCTTACTTGTCTGGCTCCATCTTTATGAAATTCTTCAGTTGCTAGTGATCGGCAGTGTTGGCCTCTGTTTATGGCCTCTTCTATATTGTATAATTAGAAGCTGGTTAAAACAGTCTCTTTCTTATGAGGACCCTGCTTTTTAACATGGGTTAGTTATCATAAATATTGCTTTTGCAACTTTAAAACCATAGGCTGACTTGATGCCTCTTATTGCTCTCACTAGAAGTCTTGTTCCGTACCGTTATGTTTGGTTTTAGTTCTTTACTGTTTTAGGCGTGCATCAAATACAAGTAAAGGGATGATTTAGCCAGATTACAGGACTGGAGGTCAGTAACTTCAGATTTCTAATACTCTTTCTGACGTTGATAATATTCCGTGACACTAAGAGAAATCACCTAACTTATCTATGTATTAGTGTCTGCACTGTACAGTAGCTACAGTATTAGCTTGCATAACTCACAGGATAGGGAAAAGACCTGCTAGTAGTTATAAAGCCTTCTGAAGATCAGAGGCAATGTAGGTGCTACGTGAGACGCTGGTGTGTATCAATTTCTGGCAATAGTGTTTGTTCTAGAGATAATTCTATCTAGAACCTCAGTATGCAGTGAAGTTTAAAGTCTTGGATAAATTTCTCAAAGCCCAGGTAATATACCCAAAGCTTGGCCATTTTCTGTATTGTATCTCTCTATGATGATAAGGAGCTAAGTGTAGTAAAGGATGAAGTTCAGGAATTTCATCTGCCAGCAATATTGAGAATAAACATGTAGCTAGACCTCATTAACCTCAGACAGAAGTGATGGAGAGAAAATATTCCCCCGTCTTCTCCCGCTGCTGTCATATTCCTACCATTTTATACACTGTGCTCAGTCCTTATGACAACTGTGTAAGAGTCAAGTGGTCTGTCTCTTCTCTTCTAAATCTCTTCCCTTAAAACTATATCCTCACTTCCAACATCTCTGAATGTTTTACACACTGTGTGTGTAGCAGAAGGTCCTGAATCTCCTCAGATGTCAATCATAGCTGAGACACTGGCTTCCTGTCTGCTTCTATGCAGGAAAATAGCATACAAAGAATACACAGCTGTCCAGGCTCCGCATCATGGTTGCTATCTGACTACAGAATCTTTTTCTAGATGTTTTCTCCTGTTGGAAAAAAAAAAATGCAGTCATGCTTCCTTCTTCCCAGGTGCTGGTCATCATGAATCTTTTAGCTGCTTTTCGTTTCCCTCTTTTTGGCCAAATGCCTTCCATATGTTGTGGCCAATTACAGATGGTCACCCTGGCATTTCCCAATGGCCGGAGTGGCTGCTCCAACATGTACCATGCGTGCAGTGTGACTACAACTCTGTGTGAAATAAAAAACAGGCTGGCCTAGGGCAATCTAATCAGGCAGCAATAGGCTGGGGCAATGCTAAGCTGAAAGTTTGGGCTTGGCCTTGTTTTGATCTGTTTTGTTATAGTTTTATTTCCTCCTTACATTCTGTGTCCCATTCATACTAATCACACTCAGTCCTGATTTTTTCTTTTTATTTCTGCATTTGTCATAAAATAAAGCAAATTATTCCCGTCTTCGGAAACGATCTAGACTAATTAGTCGTCTAACCCAATAATTAGTTTTTTGTTTCCCTGTCTGTTTTCATGCATTATTGTTAGTTTTTTCCCCTCTTTTTTTTTTTTACACCATTACAGATTAAAATGAGCCACATTTGCAGTTGATGGTATCTTTTTTTCGGGGGAAGAATGGAGAATTGCAATAGAAAGCTACTTCAAAAGCAGCAATAAACTCAAGGATAAATTAAGGAAATTGAATGAGCCACATTTGGAAGCAGCGTTGAGGCTAATATTCTGTCGCTTAAGGTTAAATTGCAATAGAGAAAGAGAGAGGGAGAGATTCCAGTGAATCCAAAATTGGGGAAGCAGTACTGCTCAAGTCAATGCCAAAATTCTTTTGCCGCTTGAAAGGGTTCTGCCTGGCTTGAGAATTTAATTATGCGTGCATCAAGTGGGTAAAGGTGCTAAACAGATCTCATTTCCTCTTCTCCCCCAGGCCTGACAGATGAAGAAATTGACCTGGCTTTCCAGCAGTCGGGCACTAGCACGGATGAGCCACAGTCCCCAGGTCCTTCTGCACAGCTGGTGCCAAATCAGCCCACTCACCCTGTGTTGTATAGTAAGTGACCTCTTGAAAACACCTCGTCCAGTTGCTTTCTGCAGTGATTTTTACTACCCTGCACCTTGCTTAGTACATTTGCAAGAACAGATTTCTGTGCCAGATCCTAGAAAACAACGTAGTCTGATGGCATTGATTTAAGGTAATGCTATAACTGTTGTCAGAATCATATACCTAATACTACTTTGAATGCATTTTGCAGTTGTTGATGCCTGTGACAAGATGCACCCACAAGATTCTATTACACAAGAACGATGAGATATAAGTGCTGATAGTCTACAAGCACAATAAATACTAGCCTATGATATCCTTTAACATCAAGGAGTATAGTCAATAGAAATTTAGCTTCTGATTCGTTAGAAAGACTTGAAAAAAGCATTTAAGTCCTACCAATGTAGGACTCAGCCTTCATTTCTAAAACTTAGGGTCACGCTTCCCTACTTCAGCAGGGATTTCTAATATTTAAATCATTAGTATATGGTAGAGCTGATAGGTTCTTGGATAGAAGGTGCTGTGAAAGTGCAACACTACTACTACTTTAGTTATTAGAACAATGGAATCTGTTCAAGCAGCTGTCTGTTGGAGGTCATCGTTGAAGTATTTACTCTCAAGTACTCTATAGAATTCTTTTGTATCTCAGTGAAAGGACTTATTTTCTTAACTAATCTGGCAACTGATCAGTTAATGCCTTGAACAGTTGCTTGCAAGAGGTACTTTTTCAGAATGGACAGTGAATTAGATTATAAGGTCTTGCACTTGACTTCCTGTGTGCACGCTCAGGGTCTGGCACAAAGGAGCCCTAGTGACTGAGCTTCATGAGTGCTGTGGACTGTGTGGCTCTGACTGTATGATTCTGTGTATAAAATTCGCTCACAGAGAATTTTTAAGGTCCCAACATAATCTGTGTAGACTTAAAATTTACATATATATTTGCATTTTAAAACAAACCTCGCAAAAAGTATCTGAGCTCCAAACAATAAAAACCAAAGTGCACGCCATTAAAAATCCATCAAAAGGAGCTGTTCAGCTCACATGTGTGTCTGGCACACAGTGAAAAGCACTTCATTTACCTGCCGAGTATTAAGAATAGGGCTTTGATATTGCTCCTAAACAGTTCTAGCTCAGATATTGACGGATGTGACAGTCTACTCAGGGCTCTGTTTATTAGTATATGGCATAATTTTTGCTATTGCTAGAGACAGTGCTAGACTTGCTTTCTGAGTTGGCATGGTTTGGGTAGCAAAAGATTTGTGATTCAAATATCCCTGATTGCTGTGCTGATGTGCTGGTGAAATCTGGAACTGAATTCTTTCTTTTAGTCTAATATCTATCTGTCGTAGTTCACAGAAAATAGCGGAAACAAAATCTGTCCTCTTGCTTATACCTGTTATGCAATACACTGCTCATTCAGCTAACTCGTATCAGAACCAAATATTGGAAGAGTCAATCTTCTCTTATGTTATAGTGTTCCAGTAATGTAAGTAAAGCAGGAAAATAGCATGCCGTTTAAACTAAAAAACACTGTAACCATTGTCAAACCTTGCAGCTTTTTCACAGGTTGTTTTTTTTCCTTTTAATATTTTGCATTTCCTCAAAGCCCCAGCTCCTAATTTCTTGTCACTAGGTAAGAATTTGGACTGTTATTTAAAAAGCAAAATGTTTCCAGTCCTGACAGAAGTTTAAAAGTATCATTGCTCAGAAACTGCAGGTGAATAAAAGAACGGCCAAAGCAGGACTTCTTTAGGTGTTGTAATTTTTAAACTTATGCCCTAGCTTTGTGATCTGGTGCATTTTAAATAATTTGAACCAAAACCTTTCATCTATGAGGCACAGTTTTGTTCATCAGCCCACAACGTCTGCGAAACAGTGACGATGGATTTATTAGATACTGCTCCTCCCCTCTCTAGCCATTCTTTTGAGACCTTCTATTTACCCTTGCTCTTTAAATGAATGTATAAAAAGAATAAACGGCTAGGTGTATATGGTATTTGTTTAACCAAAACATTTGTTTTGATTAGGTGTCATCTCTACCCCTTTCTGATTCGTGGCTGGTATAGTGTTGGTGTTGTTGATGATGGATCCATCTCTGTAGCTTCCTGTTAAGCGCTTTCTGTGGCATCAAGACTGCATAAGGAATGTGTGAATTTCTCTAGAGCTGATAGATGAGACCGTGCAGCTGTCTAGTGTCCCTATAGAAGTGGTTCAGTGGTCTTTTAAGGTGCCTTGTTTGCTGTAGGCTATTTCATCAACTGGATGCTAATATTGTAATGAATAGTTCTGCAGCGTTCCAAATCTGCTCCGGGACAGTTGTTTCTGTGATAGTTTTACTAAGTCATTTAATCTTTGACCCATTTATCAGGTATTGTCATGTATAGAGAAAGATAAATACTACTTTTTCTGTCCATCTGTTGTGTCTGTGTTCTTAACAGAGTATTCATTACATTAGTGTTGGAATGCTTCAATGTTTGAATTCAAAAGTATATCTAAAGGACTAATGAGATAGGTAGGCTGCTGAATCTAAAAGTTGACTTGTGGATGAGAACAACTTAGATTGTTAGAGGTGACAAAGATTGCAGGCTGCAGCCTTCCCCAAAGAAGACATCTGAATGTCTTGTGAAGCGGCATCTGATCTGCTGGAGGTTAGGTCCTGCAGACTATGAACCATTTTTGGTTAAATTTATTTTTTTTTGTCTCCTCCCCACCCCCCCGCCCTTTTCTGAGTAGTTTTGACACCTCTTGGCAAAAGCACAGAACTAGAGAGGTGGAATTACCCCGCAGAACAAAAAGAGGAGAAGAAACAATTGAGAAGGTACTGTGCTGAAAAGCGATGGCTAGAAGCTTGAAAAACCTCATTTCCCTCTGCCCCCCCCCCAAGTATTTCTGTTTCATGTTTAAAAGTTTACCTTAAAACTGTGGCTTCAGAACCATCTCAAGGTTTCACGAAGCAGAATTGGAGCAGACAGCTGGACTGCTGGTCTTGCCAGCCGCTCCAACGTAAGATGTTCCCTCTTGTGATTCAGAGCAATAAATCCTATCCACATCTTCGGATTCTGTTTGCTTGATCTCCTGCTGTTGTCATCTCAGCCTGTTCTAAATTTTAAAGTTGCAGGAAACAGTTCATAACTCTTAAATACTTACTTTTGTACAAATTGTGCTGATAGTGTAGGTATTACTTAATATACTAATGCTGTGTTGGAAATAGTTGTTACGTAGGTAAGTGCTATCTAATTTTTTAGAGTGAAAGAGAAAGAAAGCCTTCAGGACAGCATAGTTCTCGTTGTGTGCTGGATTCCTCCTGGGTTTGTTTTTAGAGAAACGATATTAACTCTTGGGGAGAAGAGACAGGAATGAAGTCTTTAAAGTTTCTAGACACTGTTTTTTAGCTCAGTGCCATCTCTGCTATTTCTCCTCTCTGCTCTGGAGGAGTAATTCCTTCCCTCCAGTTTGTACTTTTGCCAAGAGGTGTCAAAACTGCTTAAAAAAAAAAAAGCTTAAAAAAAGCTTGAATTTGATTAATATAGAGAAACAAGACTTTGCCTGACTGATAATAAAACTGATAAATGACATTTGAATTACTTGTAGCGGTAATTTATTACATAAAATATCTTTTATTTGACATGCGATTAGTTGCTGGAAGCATCACTCAATCTGACTAGTTTAAACATGCTTTAAAATGAACCCCCAGTAAAAAAACAGGGCTGTCTGCTGTTGGCGTTATGAAATATACTAATCCAGCAGTGAGGACAAAAATCTGACTTTAAATATTTAAATGATTAATTGGGTTTTTATCCGCATGCTTATCATGCGTGTATTGTCTGTGTCCTTCCCCGAGGTATTTATGGTCTCCCTTCATAGGTTTTCATGCAGATTTTACATGTACTTAAAAATCAGCTCCGAAGACTACTTTGCTTGCCATCTGGAACTTCTTCTCCCACCCTTGTGCTTTTCATCAGGTGGGAGGCTGTAGAGACATTTTTCTCTGATGAGTAAAAATGGTGACTAGAATCTGGACACCTCTGTGGGTCCCCCCCCCCCCACTCCTTTCCATGGATTCGATATTTACTCTTGGAAAAATCACCTTTTTATGCCTCAGTTTCTGCAGTTTTAAATGGGGATATTAGTGATGGCTGACCATACTTGGATGCACAAGGCCTAATTAACTGATGTCAGGAAAGCCAATTCTGAGATGAATAGGGTTCTTAAAAATAGTAAGTGTTTACTCTGGAAATGCAATTTACAGTTGCGGTTGTGAAAATTGAATATGCTTACAGAAAACACACATACAGAGGGAGAAGATGGCTGTGTCCCTTCCATTTGCCTTTCGATGGTCTCTTGTGTAGAATGGTTCATTACATCCCTAGTATGTAGTGTATCTCTTTCAGGAGGATTTCAGTACCTATACTGTAAGACTATCTAGGCCATTATTGCTTTTTTTACTTCCTCCACCTTTTATTCCAGTTTAACAAGAAGGGAAATTGAGGATATGTGAAGAAGTCAGTGTGAGCAGTGGAGTTACAACTGGGAAACTTCTAACTTTCCCTCCACCCCATGTTTTAGGTTATACTCTTGGAGAGGAAAAACAAGACTGAATGTAGATTTTAGGCAGAGTTGTGACATTCTTCGTAACATTGTAATGTTGATGTGGTCGGTACAGAGCCTTCACTGTGTCCCCTTACTTAGTTTTCCTCCCCATCTCCCTCACTTTTTTTTTTTTGCCACAAGACAGAATTATTTCACACATCTCTGAAACGAGTAAAATGGCATTTCAGCTTCTTGTCTTTATAGACTCTCTGAACTTTAGGAAAGATCATTCTGGTCCCTTTTCATTAATAATGAAAACCAGGGGGCAATAAAATGTTCTTAGCTCAAGCATTACAGGAATGGAGGGAAAGATGAGCGAGGTGAAAGGGCAAAGCTGACAGGGTCCTACAGGTGGGTCTCGATTCTACTCAGAGGTCACTGCAGTTGGGAGGTAGTTAGGGACAGCCAGTCAAGGACTGCCAGCCTATGCATAAGGCGCAGTTGGACCCACAGATCCTCTGAGATTAATTAACTCTTTACAATAGGCAGTTCATCCCGGAATGAGTTGCATGGTCGTAGAAGGATACTTCTAGTATGAAGTTCATGTCAGAGAATTGGAAACTCAAGAGTATTCAGAGTTCAGATGCCAGAAATGACAACGGGGGCAGAGTAAGAAGGGGAAGGAGGGATGGATGACTGGGGTTTGCAGCAAGATTAGCCAGAGATCATTTTAAATCCCAACGTGCACACAGCCAGTTACTGCAGGTTAGCCTGACGTATGTTAACTTGTTAAGTTACAAAGTTATGATAATTTGATCATGTGCCTGAGCTCCAAAAGTGCAATTGCAGCAACCCAAGATACTGCCGGTGACAATATTCACTAATTCTGGAAGTTCGGAGTTGTTCTAATATGTTAAATTTGTATGGTAGATGCTCTGAGGAACTGTATCCTAAAAAGGAGCAAGAAGCTATGCCTCTGAGGGTCAGTGCCTACCTGTAGAGCCTGGGTGCTGGGATTAGGAAGAACTGTTGCAGTGAAACACTTGCAAGAGACCTTAGCAACAGGGAGAATGGCAATAGATGAGCAAAGCTGAAAGGAGACAAGCTTCCAGCCATTTCAGCCAATTAGCCCTCTCTCTGGAAGCCTAATTTGAAAGTTTGGAGAATAGAATGTATTTCCTAGACATTGCAGGTCACATGCAGATTTAGATCTGTCTGTTTGGAGACGGTACACCAGCCTCCACTTTATCAGTTCTGCCCACATCCTACCACTGAACTTTAGGAAAGATCACTCTGCATCCTCTTTATTCTTAGTGAAAATCGGGGGCAGTACAAGATTCTCAGCAAGAGCATTAAGGGAGCTGTGAGGGAGGTGAAAGGATAAAGCTGGTGGAAAACTACAGGTGTCTTCTGATTGTGCTTGGAGGAGTGGAGCATGCCGTATCTTTGCTTTGCTCTGTTGAGTCTCTAAGCTTCTGTGCAGAATTGTGTGTTAAATGTCTCAAGCTTTTCTCTACTCCTTTTCCTCTCTCTCTGTAGATATTTAATTGCATATTTTGTCTTTGTTGTTTGTAATATGCTTTGGTCCCTGTTCTTAATTCAGGCGTAAAAGACACTGGATCCTTTCTTATTGCAACAGTCTATAGCTGCTGACACAGCATTCATAAACCCATAAACCCATTTATGATAGATTTCTCCTCTTCCTCAAAATACTTGGCTTTTTCTTCTTTCTACACTTTTTTCAGTCTCTGGCTTTGTCCACATTTTCAGAAGTTATGATAGTGAAGAGCAATTGGTATTCAGGTAGTGAGTTAACCTAAGCTAGCGCTAACAACACAGACGGTTGTCGGGGGCCAGTATAGTAAGGTTCAGGATGTGTTCTTCAAGGGAGAAGTAAGGAGAAACAATTTGATGCAACTTTATTAAATGCTGCTGTGATTTGTCTTAAACAAGGCCAGTCCCACTGCTACAGGGCTGTCCAGATTTTCCAGTGTCCTAGGGCTGGGAGCCTTCGCACTGCACCTGAGGGGCTGCCAGCGTCTTCATGCCCCCTGTTCAGTAAATCTTTGCCTGCTAAGAAACAGAAGAATTGGCGTAATTGCTCTTCTGTCCGAATCAGATGGGGGATATTAGGAAACCAGCTGAAAATATTGCCACCTGCAGTTCTGACTGTGGTTGTTTCTTGATTTTGGCTTGTAGGTCCACCTGCCTCCAGATGGCGAGACTATGGGGCTTTGGCTATCATAATGGCAGGGATTGCCTTTGGCTTCCATCAGCTATATAAGGTAATATTTTCCCTGCTAATCCAACAGCTTTTTCTGTACTCAGAGAGAACGATATTATGCTGCTTATGTCCAAATGATCATGTTGGTTGTAAGTGCAGTTCCAGTTGGTGAAGCATGTGCTCTTGCTAACACTCCCATTGATATATTTGAGAAACGTAGACATGAAAACGCAGTCAAAAAGTGGCAAGCAAATAAAATTAGTTTTCAGCAGTAGATCTCAAACTGCTAGAAACAAGGTAATTTTCATCATATGTTTATATATTTTAATTCGTATTTTTTTCATTTTTTAAGTTGGGAAAAAGGGAACACAGTTCAGGAAAGAGATTTGCCCACTGCTGGCCAGCAGACACTAGCATCATAGACAGGTCCTGTGTCCCAGTCTAATGCTTTGTCTGCTGCTGATTCTGCACCGTGGGTTCGCAAAGAACCTTCTTTGGCTGATCATAAAGTTTAAAAGAAGAGGCTAACCTCCAGCTCTGCTGTACATCCATACTTCTACTCCAATGTACTTAGAACAAGGCAGAGCAAGCATGTATTTGCTTGTGTACTGTAGAGGCAGCTGTTTCTCCAACTGAACGTGTTCTTTCACTCCAGATTTGCTCTCCAGCTCTGTGGTAGAGTGACGTTAGATAATGGTTTCTGGGAGACAGTCACATTCTGTGGCTGTATAGGAAGACATAAACTCCTAAACTGGTTCATGACAACACAGCAGAGTGTAAATGGCTTTGCTCCATTGGAAGTTATGTCTTATTTTTGAAAAATGGACAGAGATAAAAAGTAACAAATAGTTTTTGGTTTTCATGTAGGTTTTTTCTTTAAGTAACAGCTATTGGCCTGCTTAATAAAATCTGTTTTACAAATCAAGGGTTGTCCTTCTTTCTTAAACTACTTTTCTTATCTTTCTTTTTCTTTCCCTATCATTAATTTCCTGGGTCTTGGGGCAAGAGAGGGAGGCCAGATTTGGCAACGTGTTCCATCTGTGCAAGTAAAGTTCCATGACTGCAGAACGAGCTACATTATCCCCCTGGCTTTTACATTAAAGTAGTGATGCCAGTCTTACTGATTTTTTAGTTCTTGCAAAGAATGATGGGGTTGATAAGCGTCCAGAGAGATGTTAAGACAACAGCTGCTGGGCCTTGCAGACCTTAGCACATTGCTGTTACTAAATTACACATATCTAACAGATTTTGATGCTTTATATAAATTTTTTGGCATAATGTCACTGATGCTGTTAATATATCCTACTGCTGTACTCTTTGTTTACGGATTTTGCTCTGCTGTCTATCCAAACCTCCTAAGACATATTGTATGCCTAGCAGAGACCCATATTCTTTTATTGGAGTAAGAAATCTTTAGAGACAGTTGGTAAATTCCCTCTACCCTTCATGGGATTTTGAGGGGGGTTGCAAATAGATTTCTACATGAAAGATAGGATAGTAGGATGAGACATAGTTGTCCATGTGTGTTCGGTGAGGATTAGAAGAGAACTGTTTACGAAAGTCATCAAAAGCTGTTCAGTTTTCAGAATGTCCGAGTGTAAACGCGTGTGTACACGTGCTTTGTGTGGGTAAGAGCTGTGTCCAGGGAAATCTTTAAGCAGTGCTATTAAGTGTAAAAAAAATGTTGTCCCACGCATGTCGATTTGGATAATCAGCTCTATCTCAGAAATGGTCCTGTATATATGCCTCTACAGTGGGTGTATGTATGTCAAAAGCCAGGCTGAAGAATTGTTAGGTACTTTTGGGATTGTTTCAACATCCTAGACCATCCTCTCTTGCCTTTCTTTCACCTGTCGTGTTGTGCTTGAATGTGCTTTTGTTAGCGTGCACGTTCAATTCATACGTGCAGTGCTGCAGAAGGAACCACGGTAATTAGGGGAGAGCTGTGACCTATTAGATCAAATCCATCCTCTGCAAGGGCAGAAGGAGGTAGATTTCATGGCTGTGTGCAGTATCAGTGAGCTGCCTCCCTTCTTCTAGTAACTTGATTCTCAATCCCCTTAGCCCTGGTTCCTCAGTTCTCTATTACTGTTGTTAACTCTGCTCCGTTTCCTTTTCTCTTCGCTATTTCTCTGGATCTCTGCTTTTCCCTCCACCACTCTAATGCTCCCTCAGAGTTCATTAGATTTTATAATACCTCTCATTCTTTCGCTTGTTCTTCCCTGGCCCTTCCAGTATCAGTGCCCCTTTCTCCTCCCCACTTCTGCGTTTCTTGCCTGGTAGATGTAGCTCAAATGTTATGACATGTCAGCGTGTTCACTTGAGAGAGTGTAAGATCTGAAATTGTACTCCGCGTATGGTGGATGTTTCTCTGCAGTGAGAGCTGTCCTAGGAAACCCTAAACGGAGATAGGAACTGTCTTTCAGCACCCCTAAAAACGTAACCACAGAACTACTATTTTCTGTTTTTAAACTTCTTTGAACTACTTTAGGAAGAATTTCTTTTCTCAGCCAGCGGTGTGGCTAAACAATCACTGGCTCTGTTGCGAAGCATAAGGTTTGGACGGTGGGCTTCGAGGAAGTTTCAGGTAGATTAGAAAGACTGCTTTGCATATCCTTATTTCCTAAAAAAGTTTCTGTACTCCATGCAGAAATACCTGCTCCCTCTCATCATGGGAGGCAAAGAAGACAGGAAACAACTTCAGAGGATTGAGTCAAACATTTCTGAGATGAGTGGCAGTGTGACACAGACAGGTAAAGATTAATGACTCCATCAATTCACCCCTCAGAGCCCTTCTCCCTGTATCATTCTGCGAAGACCCCCACCCTTCTGTTTCCCTCCATCCCCACTTTATGTGGTGACTTCATTTATCTGCTCTGAGAATCTGTTCACATTTGCAAATGAAGCCGCCGTCATTTCGGTTTAATTTGAAATTGCTTGTTTACTGTCGGCGCGGCCTCAATTAATTATGTTTTTACGGAAAGGCTCCCAACCTCAGAATATTAATAAGGGGAATAAAATGACAGCCTTTCGGAGGGCTGTAAAGTTCATTTTTAATTTCTGCTTCTCTGATGTTTTCAGGGGCTTTTTTTTGGTGTTTTCCCCCCACCTTCCATCTGAAAACCCAAAGCAGAGTCAGGAGAGTCTGTAATTACTGTGCCTTCCTGACCTCAGCCACCTTCTCTGTTTTTGACTCTATAGGGCACCTGTTCATTACCTGATGCCCTAATGATGGCCCGAATTAGCTGTTACCTGTCACGCCAATAGAGTTTTTAATTTTATTTTATTTTATCAGCTTGTTTACTGGCTGAAAGCTTTGGATAAAGCACCAAATTAGAAAAAGTACTCCTACAGCAGGAGTTGGAGTCCAATAGAAGTTCTTTAGTGTTTGCTGGGGGTAGGAAGGGGTATACAGGGTGTTCTCCTGAAATACAAAGGGGAAAGCACAAAGTATATTCAGTTAGTTTGAAGGGAAGAAAGTGTGTTTTTCAGCAGTAAGTTGAAGTAGTAAGGTGTTGAGGGAGAAGAAGCTGGTGGGCTGAGGGTGGGAGGATGCTAATTACGCTTTTTGGTGGAGGGTGAGGAGAAAAGCATCTTTCAATTTCTCACGATACTCTGAGGTCAATCCCGAGACCAGCCTTTCTCCAGATTGGAGCTAGCCCCTGAGTTTGCCTGTGTGAGGCCCAAGATAGATAAATGATACAAACATTGTGTAAGTTCAGGGAGATGTACAAATCATAAACCAATATAATTAGAAGGGAGAGGTTTTGGATAGATATACTGTGGGCTATAGACATCTATACAATGGAAAGATAAACTAGAAATACTGGAGGTTAGATGCGATGCAGGTAGATTACCCATAGCGCAGATAAATCATATGGATTAAAGTGAGCAGGCGGGCGTAGATAAATTAGATATAGTAGGAATAGAGGCATCTTGTAGCTAGACAGCAGGAAGGACGTGTATGTGTATACGTGCGTGTATCTCAGTTTAACACTGTCCTGCTTTTCCCCTCACAGTGACTCAGTTACAGACAACTTTAGCCGCTGTTCAGGAACTGCTAATACAGCAGCAACAGAAAATCCAGGAGCTCACCCAAGAGCTGGCTGCTTCTAAGGTACCCACCCCCAAATCTTCACCTTTAGAACATCCCCATCTCCTTTAGAACTTGTAGAGCTTCTTTTGTGTGCGTATGATGAGCACAGCACCGTTTTGGGTTCACAGCCCATCCTTCATCTCATGTTCCCCGCTGGTTTCTCTGCACCTGGCATTATCTAGGCTGTCTACTCAAAGCACTGGATATTAATTGGGTGCCCAATGAAATATATCTAGCTTCCAAGAGGACTTTGTTATACAGTGCCGTTTGTAGCCTCTGACTTGTTCTTAACTCTGTAACTCCTCCCCGTGCCAAGAAAGTACAAGTATGTTACACATCTAGAGAAAGGGCAAAGAAACAGGTAACCTGCATTGCAATTGAGATGGAATAACTGTCCTGTTAGTCCACTGACCAAAAGAGGTGAAGGCCAGATACGCAGAGGTTTTATCTATGTGTGATAGGCCATTTTCATGTTTACATTTTTCCTATACCCTTGTATTTTGATTCAAAACAATGGCCAAAAACATGCTTGAAATGCTGTATCTAAGTTACTTGTTCAGATCCAGGCCAGGTAATGACTGAACCAGTCTTAACATGATGGTTTGTTTCAATGATTTTGGTCTTCTCAGCGTAACAAGTGGCCCCATCACAACCACATTTGGCGCTCTCAGTGGCTCATTCACCTTGAATCCTGACTGCAACCCGGCAATAAAACTGCCAGCTGTGGCCAGTTAGTGTAGTTACCTCTGTTCTCAGGTAGCCGCTTTTAACTAAAATTGATTTTCTTTCTGGCATTAAGACTTGGTGCTTTCCATCTCTATAAGGACTTTGCAGCCGTTGTCCTAAGCCTCCTGTCAGCCAGTAAGCGTTGGTTATATGTGAGGTGGGATGGATTTGAACAAGTCAGGTAGAGCTGAAGTCTTCCTTTCATTCACAAACTTGTGATTATTCAGATCCCAGTCATCTTTCAGTGTTTCTGTACAGGGAGAGCTTTTTCTTTTTGCTGTGAATCCCTTACACAATGCCTTTTTCTGTACAGGGAGAGCTTTTTCTTTTTGCTGTGAATCCCTTACACAATGCCTTTTAGCCTTTTTCCTAGCAGAAGCAGTTGTCTTCTCCCCTTACCTATACTTCAGTCTTGTACAAACTCTTTGATGGTGTGTAACTGGTAGGTCGCAGCGGACTATGTGGTGTGCACATTATACAGTAGGAATCCCTCAGTGGCACAGCTGTAAACCCAACCATGAAAGCCAGTTTATGGTCACAACACTTTACTTCAATTTTTCTTGGGAACTGTGGCCTGTCGGTGGCCTGGAGCCAGTCCGGAAATTGGAAAATTGTTTTCAGGTCGTAAGTGTTAAGATTAAGAACACATGTTAAGCTTTAAGAAGGGAAAAGGGCATAAGTGTCTTGGTGGTTTAGAGAGTCTTTAAAAAGTTTTTCCTTCCCCCCTCCTCCCTTCTGCTCTGAAATGGTAGCACACATTGTTATGATATCTAAACCTCATGTGTACAAAGAAAAACTTGGGCAACCCCACAAACCAAAGAATAAAAGCTGTGTTTTCTCAGCTGTAATGTAAGTTTTTATATCTGCTTTTCAAACTCCTACTGGCATGCTGTAAAAAATTAAAAAGAGGGGCTTTAAGTAATTAAAAAACGTACATAAAAATTCAAGGCTTGAATTTTCTACAACTGTTTTTTAAAGAGACTGGCTAAAAAGCCCCAGATGTCAGATTTTATTTCTAAATCCTAGGCATCTGGCACCATATGTGTTTTGGAAATTTGAGTCCTTTGCAGACCAGCGAGTGGAAATCACTCCCTTGTTAATGTGCTGCTTTAGCTTTCAAGGTCTTGGAGAGCCAGAACAGTGGCTCCCGGATTCTTGCTGTCTGAGGGCTGGGAGTGTGAATCCCAAGGGAACGCATCTGTGTATATCACAGCTACTAGAGACTGAGCCTCTCCCAGCTCATTGGGTTCACAGCCCAGAAGTCACTGTGAGTTGTACTGGCTGCGAAGGTGTTGAGGATTATTCAATACTAGCTAAAGTCTGTGTAGAGAATAAGTAGGAGCAACCAGTCCCAGTTACACCTAGTAGGAACTGATGCAGAGGAGTTTTCTGTTATTCCAGTCCTAGCTTCCTTCAGCGGGGAGTCTATTAGGAGTATCTCTGGAGAGGTGCTCACAGATGGACTGATTCCCAGCAGCTTTTAGCAGAAATAACTATGGGAAGCGCTAGATGTTGAGCGTTCTTTGGTTCCATACTCAGCCCATCCCCTATAGGAGTTGCTATTGTCATAGGAGGAGGGAACCACGGACGACGATCTCTCCTTCCGAATGCTCTTCCCATTTCCCCAGCTCCAGAAAGGGTTAAAAGAAAAAGTGTCAAAAGTGTTATATGCAGCGTGTTCTGCTCAGTTGTTACCTTACTCTAATTTCTGCCTGACATCCCATAGCAGTTCTGATGCAGTGCTGACAGCAGCTGTACTAGGCTTCCATGAGTTACTTATCATCTTTCCCCACCACATTGCATTCATTGCCTTGAAATATCCAAGAGAGAGTGCCTACTCCAGCTGCTTCCTGGAGATACAATCTGGTAACTCAAGCATAGCTCTAATTGTTCTGATCTAGTGGGGAAAGTTTTTGGAGCTTTCAAGCATCAATTTATCAGTCCACCTCTAAATGCCACACAGTGCACTTTATTGACCCTTTATTTCATGGTTTAGGAGAAATAAATGAGAGATCTTAAACCGGTTATTTGCATATAATATTTGAATCTGTTGCCTCAGCTAAGTGCAGTCTCAGGAAAGAGTAAAGTACCTACTTCTATGTAACTCCCACTGCCTTTCAGGATCATAGTTCTTCTCCTCTAGGAACGGTACCATAGATTAACGTCAAACAGTTTGCTGTACCTCTTTTTGTATTGCTCTCTGTCTGACATGCTGGTGGAAAACTTCCTATGCAGACCTTGCTTTGTTTGAATTCTCACAAGTGCTGGGCTCCTTCTAAAGGAAAAAGAAAGGTCCTCTTGAGATGCTTTAGCAATAACTGTGCATGTTAGGTCGGTTACAAGATGAGTTAGTTCCAAAACTGAAAGCAAATGTTCAAATTGTCTTAGCACCCCGAGAGAACTATTTTTCTGATCGTTGTGGGACTCCATTCAGGTCTGTCTTCGTTGTGGAAGTTTTTCTGCCCAGACCTGAGAGATTTGAAATGATAAGGCTTATGTATGTTATCCCCAATGCATGAGACTCTCGGATGGGAGGGGAGAGAAGGTAAGATAGAAAAATGTGACTTTTTGTGAGCTATCTCCCAGTTCATACTTCTGATCTTTACTTCTTTTTCATGTTATAGGCCACAACTTCCACCAACTGGATTCTGGAGTCGCAGAATATTAATGAATTGAAATCTGAGATCTACTCATTAAAAGGACTCCTCCTGAACCGGTATGGATGGAGTATGTGAGGGGATTATTGTGTGGGGGAAAGGGTTGCTTTCTGGGATTCTCTCAGTCATTGAGAGGAAAGGCATTCCCAACGGGAACTAGCTCTACACCTATCCTGCTATTGCTGTTTTAATAATACCACTTTGCACTCCACTATCACCTTCTATCTGCAGGTCTCAAAATGCTTTTCCAACTTGCCTTAAACCACAGAGTTCTTTGGATAATTAATAAGACTTTTTCTCTTTGTTTGATATAGAGAAATTTTCTGCTATTCCCCACAGGTAGGATGCCTCTCACATAGTTTCAGGTGCTGACTGTGTATGGTCTCCATCTGAGCTACCCACCTACGTTCCATTATGGAGAGAGAGGCACTTCTGGATACAGTTCATCTGACCTTTTTACGGTTAGGGCATAACCAGAGGGAAAAGAATCACACTTCAGTAGAGTCTGTATCTCTCCATTGGCTAGCTCAGGCATAGACATCTTATACGGTAGATGAGGCAATATAAATCCCAGCCTGTGGGACAGTCATAAGAACAGGGATCAGATCTCAGTTCTTGTAAAAATTCTTTTTTCCTAGAACATAACTCAGAGTTTATTTAGCTTTTCAGCTATTGATCCTTTCACTCTGATATGACTCCCTTGCCTCCTTCTACACATGACGTAAGTCTTCTCATGTCATCTCTTTCCTAAGATGTGGACTTCAAAGATAAATTTAAGGTTGGACTAAACATGTTCAGAATCTAAACAGGTGTGCTTTTCAGAAGTCTGAAAAGTGTGTTGGCTTTAACAGTCTTTTAAATTCTCCCTGCCTCTCCTGTTTCCACTAGGAGCCATGGTAGAAAGCTTTGGGTGATTGGGATCACGTATTCAGTTGCCATGAAGTAACCCTAGGTGACTCATTGAGGACAGAACAGCCAGCTGCCTAGCTGGTGCAAACTAGTACGACTCCGTTCAAATGGTAGTTCAGTTAGTTCATACTAGCATCACTACTGGGGAGAGAGTGCTTGTTAATGGCGCCTCTTCAGCAGTGGGAAGGCTGCTCAGAGATTACAGACCTGTTCATCTCGTTAGGCCTCTACCTGTCAGGCTGGATGAGGAGCAAGCACAGAGGCTTACCTGTCCTTCATCTTTTTGTTGAGGAAGGTTTCATCTTTGATTTATACACACAAAATCTTTCAGCTGTCTACTGCTGGCCAGCAGCAGGGGGATAGCAGCTCCCCAGAGTGGGAAAGGGGGAGGGGGGGCTGTCATTAAGGAAAAATCACTGTTTTATGCAGCTGGGGGATAAGTGCTTTTGGAAAAAAGAAAAGGTTTTGTTGTTGTTGTTTGTTTTTAGCAAAAAGGCAAATGTTTCTGCAATGTGCAGGTGGCAGCAAAACTGGAGCCAAGAAAGTCTCCAAATTGCATTTCTTGATAGCATTTATGATACTGGCTGAATAATGCAGGCATTAGCTTGTTTGCACTCACAGGAGATGGAGGTTAGAACAGCAGAGTTCATTCATGGCTAATGGTGGCAGCAGGGAGAGGGAGGTGAGCGCAACTGCTGTTCCTAGTTCAGTCTAAGAAAATGAAATCTATTGTGTTTGAGTGCTCGTTGCAGGAGAGCAGCCAGCTTTCTTGGTCTTAGTCTAGTCTTGTTCTTGGCACTAGCCAGTTCCTAAGGGGCATGTGAACTCCCTCCTGCACAGCATCCTCTTCGGAGCTTGATCAGATAAGTTTTCACACTCCCACTTCCCACATGCACAAGCAAGGATTGTGTTTGCATGGGAAATACCAGATCAGATGCTCTTTTTGCTCTGTTCTTCATGACAGATGACCTTCTGAAGGCACCAGTGCTCCCTGCTCCACTTATATTTGTCCTCTTTGGTACTTGGATTCTCCTTTTAGGGCTGGGCATGAGCCTGGTGCTATCAAATCCTTAAAGCCCACCAGGGCGACTCATTGAGGACAGAACAGCCAGCTGCCTAGCTGGTGCAAACTAGTATGACTGCATTCAAATCCGGGAAGCTGAACCAATTTGCAGCAGCCAGGATCTGGCCCAAACATGTAAAGTGCATGCTGGGCCTAGGATAGCGATATCGCAGCATGCGATATAGCAGCATGCGATAGCTTTGTATCACAGTGGAGATGAGAGCCAGATGGTGAAATTCCTTGGCTCAGGCCTGACGGCCCGATGCCTCTGACTTCTTGCTCCAGTGGGAATTTTCTTTACCAATTAATTAGTGATTGTTTTATAAAGGGGCATTGAACACCCCTATCTTTCCAGAGGCAGCATTCCTGAATGCCAGCTCAGTCTGTGAAATTGCCAAACCAGATCAAACCAGCGCTTCAGATTGCCCAGCTGTGTGCAGGCAGCTTTTCCCTTGTGTGCAGGCTCAATTACTGGGTGCCTGTAAAGCACTTTGAGATTCTGGCTGACGAAGTGAAGTGGCCTTGGTTTTGTTTGTTTATGACAAAGGAGACTTGCAATTTCAGTCCTACTTTACATGATTCCCCTAGTACAAATGCCACCCTTCTCTCTAATGATAGCCCCTCAGTGTTTTTAATGATAGCCCCTTTCTTTCCTTTTCTTCTCCCCCACCCCCTGCCCCCCAAGGAGGCAGTTCCCTCCCTCCCCTTCGGCTCCTAAGATCCCGTCATGGCAGATCCCAGTGAAGCCAAGCTCACCCTCCAACCCTGTTGCTGCCAACCATAACAGCAGCAGTGACATCTCGCCTGTGAGCAACGAGTCTACTACCTCATCGCCAGTCAAGGAGAATCACAGCCCTGAGGGTTCAAAGGTCAGCTGCCATTTGCTGGGCACAGAGGAAGGCAACAAGGCAGTGATAGACGTCAAGAGCCAAGTGCGGATGGAGGTGCAAGGTGAGGAGGAGAAAAGGGAAAACAAAAGGAATGAAGAGGAGGAAGAGGACGATGAGGATGATGACGTGAGCCACGTGGACGAGGAGGAATGTCTGGGCGTCCAGACTGAGGACCGGCGAGGAGGAGATGGGCAGATTAACGAGCAAGTGGAGAAGCTACGAAGACCTGAAGGGGCCAGCAATGAGAATGAGATTGACTAAGGCACCCTGGCTGCTTCTTCAGCTGCTGTACATCTTCCCTAGCCTCCTGCACTATCCCTGGTGCCTCTCTCGTTTTGTGGAGAGAAGTGCCCCTCTCCCCTCCTGTGATTCTTCCGTGATTGACCTTGAGTAGGGTCATAATTGCCCAGCAAACAAGATGGGCCCTGTTTCACCGCAGGGCTGTGCAGCATTGCAGTGCAGTGGCTTCTTCTTCCCTCCCAGTCCCACCTTATCCCCATGAGCTGGGGTCGCTGCCTAGGCTGGAAGACCAATCGCCTTACCATGCACCACAGCTCCAGAAATAAGTCACCTTACAAAAAAATCCAGCATCTCTCCCGAAGTGGTCAGCCTCTTCACTGCATCCTAGAGTGATCCTCTCCAGTCTCAGAAACCAGTCTGTCCTGAGCTCTTCTATTTCACAAGCCTTTAATCCCACGTAAGTCCTGAACCAGTTCTCTCTATTTTCTAAAATACCCCTGTTTTATTTCTCAAAGTAATTGACGTTCCATCTTAAAATCAGAAAGTTTTAACCCTGAATTCCTCACTTGATATCACGCTCAGCCGCCCACTTCCAAGCCTTATGTCAAGCCTCAAATTCCTGAGATTACCCAGCATTGGAAAACACTAAATTTTTTTGTGGGGTCCAAAGACCATTATTCCCACCGCACATGCTCCCTTCCACTCCTCAAAGTGGCCTCTTGCTAGAGATCCAAGTCCAAGTTTCATGGCTACAGTAAAATGTATGCGAACAGGTGGCTTTGTTACCAATTACTCCCCAGTGAAAGAAGGCTTTAAAAGATGACCCCCCCTCATCCCAGTTATTACCCTTTATCCTCCAAAGGCAAACGGAGCTCACGTCAGTTTTTGACATCTTAACGTCTATTTATAGCTGCCCTGAATGAATGAGGTGATACCAGATGCTGAAATAGTTGGTTAATTCTGAATGCTCGCAATGGTTCTTAACCTGGTTTTCTCCCTAAATGAGGAGAAAACCCTTCTTAAATGATCATCTAAGACCTGCAGCTACACAATGACAGGTGCCTGCTTCAGCAAAGCAGTGTTTGCAGAAGAAAGAACAATTCCAGCTCTGAGGTACACCGCTATCCTTTCTTGCCCAGCCCAGCCTTTTTTCACCCCATTGGGGCTACACACAGAATAAAACAGTGAATTTTGAAACCTCTCATTTGCAGCATTGTATTCTCAGCTGGTAAAACGGTGGTGTCCAATTATTATTCACTGCATCAGAGCCTCTTAGCAGAGCAATTCCTGTAACATCTGAGTCACCCTCTCCTCACCAAGCAAGCGTGCTCGTCCGTGTGATCATGTATAGATTTAAAATATAAAATACGATTGTATATAATTGTAATAAATATGAGTTACCACTATTTAACACCAGGCTGTTACTGGATTACTGTGGCTCTTATTCTGGGGAGAACTATGCATGCAGGGTGGTAAAGGGAGGGAAAGGGGGAGATTCCAGAAATTCAATGCTTAAAAAATGTTTTCCAGAGGGCATTTGTGGTTGGTTTATGTTTAAGCTGCTCCAGTCCTAGGTTATCTCAGCAGGCGGCGGTGTACGGAATGGTATAAGTGCAATATAAAGTACAATATAAATAGCTCTAATGGCACCACAATGCTAGGTTGCCTCTGTTATTGCAGAGGGTGAGGTGGATACATCATCTGTGAATAAAATGCGACTGGTCTGGTTCTTTTTCTCCCAGCAGGAGGCACTGCAGGGTCCAGAAAGCAGCATCTTGCTCTGTTTCCACCCCTTGCAGCAGGAGGTGCTGAAGGGAGTGCGTGAGATATCCCATAGCCATTTCATCTTATCTACCAGCAGGGAATGCTGTGCGGTATCCCATGACTGTGCTGACCCTGCCATGTTAGCACAGAAGCCATTGAAAGGAATGGTGTGCAGCAACTCGTAGCTACTGTAGTCGCATCTTTGTTCCAACAGAAATATTTGGCTCCCTTCTTAAAAATGAGGGATTTACTTGATTCCTGAGTATTTGGATGTCTGGTACACAGTGACATTTTCCTGCTCAGAGGGAGCGAAAGGGACCTTCATATTACTGTATTTAGACCTGCTCTTGAATGTGATGATTTCTCCTTCCTTAAATGGACGAATATCTTCCCCAGGAGTGAGTGAGTGTATGTGTGTCTCTCTCTCCCTCCTTCTCAATCTCTCTCTCTGCCGTTTAACGTTCGCAAAGAACGTCACGTTTAGCTGAAACGGGAAAATTTGAAAGTGTTTAAAAGCAAAGGCTTTTCTTAAGAGATGGCACTTTTCACGTCTACAAGCCAAGAATCCTTGTGAAAAGAAAACAGGACTGAATGCAGGGATGTAATGAAAAAGTATTGTCCTGCCTGTGTACATTTTATATACATAGAAGGTTTTGAAAATAGAAAGTGCCTGGACAACAGCAGTCGGTGAAATGTGGAAAATATGTTGCTGAGGTATGTGCCTTGCAGAGTGACTTACGAGGTTTACAGTACAAGCATCCCTGCGGGTTCATTTTCCCCCCCTTTTCCTCCATGTTTCCAGTGTTCAGTTCATTTACCTCAAGTTTTCTGGTGCAGCAGTAAAAGGCAATTTTCCTCAACTGCCCTTTTCCCACCCTTAGTTTTTTGTTCTTACAACCTTTACCAATTGAATAGGTCGCAGCTTTTTCTTTCCACAACCTGACACGAATCCCAGCAGACTCCATCACAGCCCATGTTGCTCCAAAAGCTAACTCGCATCCTCTTGCTCCTGGTGGGATGTTTGTATACTTTGTTGAGGAAATCCAATCCATCAGCAGAGAATTTGGAAGAAGCCAGACCTCCATACCTGCAGGTATTTTGGGGAATTATGGGTGCTATTCCTTTCTCTTATATCTTGTCTTTCTTTCCAGCATAGCAACAGTTTGGGGCCAGTGTTTTGGTCCTAATGAACTATGTAGCCTGACTTCTAACCGTCATTCTTTCTTTTTTTGGCTAGAAACAAGCTTCGTAGATCAGCACTCTATGAAATGTTTAGCCCACTGGCCAGTAGGCACTGAGAATGGCATCATATTAGCTGAAAGATGACCGGGTAGCAAACCCTTTGCCTGCAGAAAAGAAAGACAGCAGCAGCAGTTACCCACTGACTGGCTTATTCAAGTAGACTGTTTTACACTGTAATCAGCCTTTGTTTTGACACAGGAAGAAGAAGAAACGATGCCCAGGTTGGTGAGTTCAGTTCGTTCATAATGGTTTCTCTAGGTTCTTGATGCTGTGTAGGTAACAGGTGAAGGAAGCCTCCTCTGAACAGTGTCACTTGAGCACATTTCAGTGAAACCCTGTGAACCTGCTGTCTGCCCTGTAGAGGAAGCTATGTCAGGCTGGTGCTTTCCAGTAATTTGAGGATATAGAAGCTCCCTGTTCAGTAGCCACAAGAGATATGTGGGGAACTCAAAAAATGTGACAAAGTGGGAAAGGGTTACGGAGAGATGTCTCCTGATCATCTTTGTCCAACCTTCCTCACCCCCAAGACTGACAAGTAAGCCCTTCGTGAATCTTTGACAGAAGCAGGGAGAAATTTCCTATTGCCTTTTGCTTGTTCCGAGTGTAACCTAAGCATATTTGGGATCGGAACAAAAGGGGATGGACAGTGGGGTCCTGTGTAATCTTGCTGATTTTCTGCATGACGTTTTCCAAAGCATTTTACTTGTAGTGTGCCTCGGTTTCCCCACGTGAGGGTAAAAAAAATCAGACAGTAACTCCGGAGATGCGACAAAGACAAGTTGCGGAGAAAGCAAACTTTGGAAGCCAGATTTCTTGCTAGGTCCTGGTGCTCGCACAAAAAATCCCCAACCCCCGTTAACTGGTGTGCCCAGGAGTAAGACCAATGCAAGGCTGCAGCATGCCACCCAGCTGGAGCCACTGTCCCCTGATTGTCTGGCTCCTAATGGCCTGGACTGCACAGCTGTGTGAGAGGAGCTGCATGACCTTCCCGGAGCGGCCTCTTCATCTCTGCCTGCGCTGGTCAGTCAGCAAGCTTGCCTTGGTTTGAGGGCAGCCATTTTAGACCTGGTCTTTGCTTGTTGCAGCTGAGCTGCTTCTTCTGGCAAGTAAGTGCTTTTTAATACGTACGTTCTCTCTTGCCGTTGACTTCAACAGCAGTGGGGGAACTGGCTGCGTTCCAGTGGCTACCTCAGCCCGGTCTGGGGTTTTGTTGTTGCTAGAGGGGCTACCCTGATGTGTAACGGTGGAAGGAAGCGTGGTGCGTGCTGGGCTGCTGCCTTGGTGAGGGAGAGGACTGTATTGGGACTGGAAAAGCCCCAGTCTGTGTCTGCTCTGGTGCTCCCATTTGCAGTGCCTGATACAGAAATGGAGGCTACCTTTGCCTTTCCTTGGTGGGGGAGTGGGTCCCTTGGGGGAAACAAAGGCTTGACAGCAGGCCTGGGGTAGTTTTGGGGGGCAAATCTGATGCGTTAAAGTCAGGGTCTCAGGGCCTGGCTATACCTTCCACACCCAGCAGCTAGTGGAGTTCCTGCATGCTGTTGCCTTATGCTCAGCACAAATTGTATGCGTTGGTGACCCTGCACACCAAAAAAAAAAATACCAAGCTGGAGCTGAGAGACTTCCAGGCAGGACTGGAGCTCTGTCTTGTTGGGTGCTACGCAAGTGCCAAGCCAGAAACAGGCTTTGCCTCAAGGGACTGAGAACATAAATAGAGCCATGCTGGGAGGTGAAACAGGGGAAATGATTTACCTGAGGGTGCAAGAGCGAGCTTCCCAGCTTTCTTCGTTCTCCTTGTACCATCCTGTATCCTAGCCTATGCTGCTTACGCAGAAATTAGTCCCTGTAGGGCTAACTTTTAGAGCTGTGTCCACCTGTTATGCTGTCGCAAGGCTGACCCTTACCATTACCTGTGCTGTCAAAAGTGAAACAAAATAATGGAAATGTACCCAAGGTGAAGGGGGGGGGGAAGCAGGGCAGAGAGAGGATGGAAGGCATGATGCAGCTCCTTGATTTGCTCTGCAGTAGAAGCCCTGAACTGCGCACTTGTAGACTGAGGGGCTGGCATGTTCTCTCCCAGCTCAGGGAGAAAAACAATCCCATCCCCAAAAGGGAGTGAGCACTAACCTAATAAAGGCACCAGCTGGACGAAGGGAAAACCAGATCTTCGTCAAAAAAAAAAAAAAAAAAAAACCTCCTTTCATTAGAAAAATAATATATTTCATCCAAATAAGGTAAAAATATTTGAAATGGGGCAGAAGTGAGCACTAGGCAGCATCTGTCAGGCCCTTTCTGGAAAGGGGAAGATTATTAAACTCAATTACAATTTATTTTTGTAAAGTGTCTTTCAGACTAAAAATCTCCCCAAATGCTCTGCAAGGACTTTACAATAGGGAGCATCTTAGAAGATCACCCCCAGTTTCCCCCCAGGCTCCTCTTTTCTACATCTGCTGGAGGAGTTAATCCTTTCGGATTTTTTATTCTGAATTTGTGCAAATAGTAAGAGACCTTTTATGATGCTGGCCACAAAAACATATCTGAAGGGGGGGGGGGGTGGGGGGGGGGGAATTACTTATGCAGCTGCATGGACTTCTTATTCTCTTCTGGTTTAGATAAAATAGTTGCTTTTCTGTAGGACTGTGTCTCCTGACTGAGGAGGTGATTGGCTGGGTAGGTCTGATTAAGAGCATCCAGAAGTACAACTGGCTTATTTGTTGCCTGTTTTTCTGTTTGTGTCTGTCACTTTGCCAGCCTGCTTGTCTGTCTCTCGGTCGCTTTGTCTGCTTGGCATGTCTGTTTTGTGCAGCATCCCTGTTGTCGGTTTGTCTGTCTTCTGTTATGCCTATCTGTCTCCTAATGCCCCTTTCCTTTTTCTCTCTAGCACTTCAGAAACAGACCGCTTCCAACTTGATCCCCCTACTTCTGTAAGCCCATACTGAGGTTTTACCTATGTGGAGCCAGAGTAACACCTCTTTAAAATCAATTCCTTTAGCTGACATAATTAAACTAGAGCAAATTCTTGGGTAGACATTCTTCCATCTCTTTGAATGAACTTGTCTTAGTTAAAGCAGTTTAAACTGAAATATGTGCATTCGCAAAAGGGTATGTGCTAAATTGCTGCAACTTTCCTATGTAGATGAATGCTCTTTGCTTCCTGCCCTCCTACAGTATCAAAGCAGGTTTCATCTCTGCATGCCTGTTTGCCAGCTTACTTCTATGCTTTGGTATCCCTTCCTTGTTGTACAGCAACATCAGCTTTTCCTTCACTGCAGACAGTAAGTTTTGGGTGCAAGGTGAAGGACAGGGCTCCTTGCTTTGCGGTCTTTTCTGTTGCCCAGAAACAGCCAGATGCAGCCTGACATTTAGCCTGGAACTGGAGCCTTGCATCTGTTTTTCCTCCTGTTCCCCAACTC